TACATATATGCATGTATGTATGCATGTATGTATGTATGCATGCATGCATGCATGTATGTATGTATGTATGTATGTATGTGTGTATGTGTATGTATGTATGTATGTATGTATGTATGTATGTATGCATATGTATGTATATATATATATATGTTTACTTATATGCATGTGCATATATGTTTGTAAATAAACAAATATAGGTATATGCCTGCAGCTTGAGGGATCTACTCATGAATAAAATTGTGCCAGCAAGGAGCTTTCCATGGACCGATTGAAGCGCATGTAGACGGTGCGGCGGCACGAATCCTCCCGGCCATAAGATCAGGGCTTGAAACGCCTAAACCCCTAAAGTCTGGGCCCCAAAACCCTCAGCCCCAAAACCCTAAACCTCTACACCCCAAAACCCTAAAACTCTAATATTGACCTTAAGAAACCTTCGGCCCGAAAAGCTGCAGACCCCATATTAGTGTCCTGGATCTCTTTCTCTGACCGTTTCTGGTCTTCGGGTGCGACTGCTACCATTGCTAGCTTCTCGGGGGCTGTGCCTTGGGGTTGCTGCTGCACTACTGCCTGCTGCTGCTGCTGCTGCTGGGGTGGAACTCCGGTCTGGATCTGCTGCTGCGAAGCCTCGGGTGGAACTCCAGGTGGAACTCCGGTCTGCTGCGAAGACTGAGGTGGAACTCCGACACCCATCGGCTGTGGACCCTGCTGCGAAGCCTCGGGTGGAACTCCGGTCTGGATCTGCTGCTCTGAAGCCTGGGGTGGAACTCCGGTCGGGATCTGTTGCTGCTGCGAAGACTCAGGTGGAACTCCGGTCTGGGTCTGCTGCTGCTGCAAAGTCTCTGTTGGAACTCCGGTCTCCATCGGCTGTGGCTTCTGTAGCTGCTGCAAAGCCTCGGGTGGAACTCCGGTCTGGATCTGCTGCTGCTGCAAAGCCTCGGGTGGAACTCCGGTCTGGATCTGCTGCTGCTGCAAAGCCTTGGGTGGAACTCCGGTCTGGATCTGCTGCT